AAAAATATTAAATTTCTCTAGTGAATAAGATATTAATGCTTTCAATTTCACTGTATATTAAATGAATAAATAAATAAGTAAATATATTGTTTTTTTATGGGTGGAAATGGAATGGTGACCTCGCCTGCGTTATCAGTATACGCTGGTGGGGCACCGGTAAAAGATGATAGGCGAGGATGAAAGCAGATAGGTTAGTCGATCGTAATAAATTCAACAAGAATTAACCACGATGGTTTTCAAGCGGAACACACACATAGTAATACTATACTTACTGGAATAGTAAGTATATGTAGTAATTGCTAATAAATGTTCAAGTCCATTACTAGTAATTCTGTTTCCCCCTCTGTATTATAATTAGGTGCATAAAAGCTATAGTGGAGATACAAAGTAACAAACATTTCGAATCTTCTCAGGAATAGTGATCCCATGAAGAACACCAGTATTCTGAGATATTTTTGTATGCAACTTAGAATGACAAGCTGACGGCCTATCTGATGGAAAGTGGTAACCATCGCCTATAGATATGAACAGTACCGTGAATATAAGAGTATACTGTTTCGCCCATGACACCTCCCATGCATTGCCATTCCTGAGGACTCAGGTTATAGATATCATATATATATGATGTCTACAAGTCATGTCTACAAGTAACAGTTCCCACATGTTGTCAGGTGAATTATTAGCTTATTTGCCAGTTTAAGTGTTATAAAGAAAAGATATACTTTATACTGTTTTTAAATGCGACCATTTTCTTTTTATATTACACAGCTATACATTTTGAGTACTTAGTTTATAGCAGTAGCTTTTTACATTTTATGATCTTGAGTAGAATCCCTTTTATGTTTATAGCGTGTACAAAATGTTTTTGTTTTTACATTTATACTAAAACAGCAATTTGATAAAGTTTCACAATTTTATTTTAATATCAGTGTATGTTAACGGAGCTTATGGCGGAGGGATAGGCAGTAGCGCTCCACTTAAAACAACATTAATAGGCAAACCGTGATTGCCAACCAGCCTGCCAAGCGTAGTAACTACAGGCAAAACCTCTTTTATGGGGGAGGCTATGTTCAGCAGCAGACAGTTAACGGCTGGTACATACAGCAAGCTGTTCGTGTAGTGCTGTTCGTACCCCAGCCTTGAAATACGCTTATGAATAAGACCTCCTATCAAATTTAAAACTATTCGGACATCGCCCAATTTAAAGTGTGAGTAAAGTCGACATTTGGGTATGTGGTCCCAGCATAGTACTATGTATAGACCCCTTCTCTTCAAGTAAGTGCCCTAAGAGGTAACTAAGGAAACTTAATGGTAGAGGGATGGACAGCAGCGTTCCGTTTTAAACATCACTAAAAACTCAACTGCTGTTGCCAACCCGCCTGCCAACCATGACAACTATTGGCAACACTTATGGAGTAGGTTTATGTTTAGCAGTGGCTAGTTAAATGCTATTATGTTTAAAGCCGATATAAATAATTACAATACAAAAAATATATGTTTTGAAATAAAAACTGATGTATATGTAATAGCCAATTTACTTGAGATGCCAGTTAAAGATGGCTGTTTTCTGTGTAACTAAGATGAAGCCGCGACGTCGTCGTGACGCAGCCACGTAACAAGCTCAAAACAAGAATTGTATATTCAAATTTTTTGCGATAAATACTGTTGTAATATTTCTATTCCAAGGACTTCAATTGTGGCAATACTAGTTATTTTGATGTCAAAATTGAACTAGTGAACCAATTTTTATAAAATTTCTTAGGGCCTAATTTGTAAGTATATCCTTTCAGATAAAAAAAACATTTTTCAAATTGGTTTAGAACTGACGGAGTTATGAAGTAACAAACAAAAAAATACATCCGAATTGAGAAACTCCTTATTTTTGATGTCGGTTGAAAATAAGAAATAATATTATTATTGTAGGTAAGTCCACATTCATTTTCAACCATATTGGTTCGCTATCTCGCTCATATTTAGTTCGCTATCCTGTTTTGGCAACAAGAACATTCCTAATTTAAGAATGTCACACACATGTGACATTGCCCGTAAATTAGTCACAACTTTACTTTCTAACTCACACATAAACACAATTCAAATATATTCTCAATTGTACGCCATATTTCTCTTCAACTTCATGAAACAAACTAAGTTCGTCCATATACCACCACTTGACCGACACGAACATATCTCACACTACCAAACCGCAAAATAAAATTTGTCTAAAACCATATTTTTTTTTTAATGTATAAAAATGCAATCGTGACCTCGCCTGCGTTATCGGTATACAATAGCGGTATACAAGTAAAGGATTGTAGGTGAGGATGAAGCAGGTTTCTTATTTCCAGGGGAAACTGCATAAAGGTCGGCCAGATAGGGTATATTGCTGGTAATGGAGATATAGACCTAATTATTGATAATGCCTATCCCCTCACCACATTAAATTTGTAAATTAGCGATTGTTTTTGAATCCTAAAAGCACATAAAAATATTAAATTTAACTTGGAGAAGAAGCAGCACTTACTTACATCGATCTTACAGGTTACTTCGAGAAGGGGTTCTCGAAGAACCTGTAAGATCCTATGTAAAAAGTTTTTTATTATGCAAATTTGAATGGTAAACAAGCTGACGGCCCACTTGATGGAAAATGGTAACCGTCATCTATAGACACGAGCAGTACCATGGACATAACAGAGTATACTGTTTCGCCCATGTGTTGCTATTCCTGAGGACTCAGATGTTATTCCTCTGTACCCTGTAAATTCACTACCATATCCCACCCTTTAAATCGAAACACAGCCGTGCAAACACAACTGCTTCACGGTAGAAACACGAATGGAACAGAGGTGCACAAGCAAACGACTTTTATACAAAGTCTCCCTTTGGTAACTAACAACAACAACAACTTTGTCGAGGTAACGTCTTTTAATTCTACGTACCACCATAAATAAAATTTGTTTTATTAGATTTAAATTGTTAACTCGCATATTATACAATTACATCGCCAATTCTAAAAATAATTAATAATATCCTTGTTTCAAAAGTCGCTTAACAAAATACAGCGAACTGCCGTACCTTTGTGCATTACCCAATTACACAAGTTTTGGGTTGAAACTCCGCGGTACGTAATAAAAGTTGCCTTTCTGCGAATCCATGTGAAATTTCAAAGTGTTATATGATCTACGAGTAACATCATGTTTTATACCCGACTGCTGAAGAAAGGTAATGTTTTTAAGCGAAAACGAATTTGTTCTTAATTTGATTATATTTTTACCTGACTATTTATTATATTTTTTTTTTGTGTTTGTTAGTTCAGAACTCCATTTTTATGAGCCGATTTTGAAAGTGCTTTTTTCACTTGAAAGGATATATATTTTCAGACTGGTTTAATAGAAATTTTATCTAAATCGGGCCAATAGTGTTGTTTTTGAATTAAAATAACTTACATTAAAATATAATGTATGCTTACGTTAGTTTCGTATATATGTAATAACTACCATTTTAACCTATGTGTAATTAGACCGAGAAATCTCGACTAGTTTCGTGACCAATTCGGGACCCTTAACCATAAGCGGGTATGACGCGAGCACGAGCCTGACTAACTTATTTTACCACGATTAAAACTGGTATTTTTTTTATGATGCAACAACATCTATTACTGTATTTTACGCAACCTCTTCGTCAATTCTGAACATTTAAAATTTAACTTTTCAATCCATATATTCATTGTGATTGATTTATCGTTGAATTCGTCACGATGGGCCAACTGACCTGCTTCATCCTCATTTTAAATCCTTCACTAGTGCTCCGTTAGTGTATACCAATACCTCAGGCGAGGCATCCATTCTATTATCAATTATTAAAAAAAAAATACAGACAGCGGGGGGAAAAGGATCGTTAGTAATGGAGACTAGCGGCCCCATTGCTAGCAATATACCCTAACAGGTCGATCTTCATGTATTTCTCCTTGGAAAACATCGTGATTGATTTATCGTTGAATTCGTCACGATGGGCTAGCTGACCTGCTTCATCCTTACCTTACATCCCTCAATGGTGCTTTGCCAGCGTATACCAGTAACGTAAGTAGAGTTACCATCCCATTATCACACCATAACAAAGTACAAACAGTATTTAAGTAGGACGGTACACAAAGAGCCGATGCGCCTTCACTCAAACTCTTTATTCCGCTAATTTTACTTTTACATTATAATTTCGAATACAATGTTGGCATTACCCATTACGATGATGAATCGTAAAAAACACAAAGGAGCTAGCTTTTAAGATCCCTTAGTATCTATAAAATTGATGCATAGTAATAACTGTTATCATGCTAATTTCGTTCTTATTGCCTTATTTCATTACTGGAGTCCATTTAGCAAGGATTCGCAAATTGAATGATGTTCTTAAAATGTTTTTTGCGTTGTTGTTGTTGTATAACCGACTTCAAAAAAGTAGGCTTTCGTTACGACTATACTTTCATATACCAATCGGATGGTAAAATAAAAAGGGTGACGTTAGAGTGTCTGTGTTGTATATATGTCCGGAACGTTACAGTTTAATGGATTCAACTTAATTTTTTTTTTATATTTAATGATAATATTAATTCTATATGAAAACTAGCTTCTACTCGCGACTTCGCATGCATGACCGTTTGACGAATTAAAAGTAGGCTATGACCTTTTCTGTCTCTTTTAATAGTAATATAATGCGTTCTATAATAAATTTAATAAAAAATGGTTGAGTCATTAAAGCGCTAAGAGGTGGCAAACAAATAAAGACTCACTTTCACATTTACAGGTAAAGCTTATTGAAGATGTTAGTTTAAAATTATATAGGTAAAGGTAGTTTGTACGAAAGGTTAAATCTTTTTTGTCGTTTATGACCTATCTATCTAATAAAGAAATGATTGAATGATTTTCCTCGAAAAGAACCTAATGATTTCAGTAACACCCTGTATAAAGTATCTACTCTATCTAAATGTTATAGATCTATGGCAAACTTACTTGTCATGAAAATGTTTGTTACTAGTTGCGTATGAATCGAAAATGTAATTCAACATAGGCGAGTCTCCTTTCCCATGTTTCATTTGTCGCCGAGGTTTGCTTGTTATTCTTGTATTGCGGAAGACAGTCGGAGGAGGCATGGTGAGCGATGTCGGCGGGGTCGCAAGTTCAGTGCCGTGGACTTCTGAAAAAGATAGATGGATTGTTACTTTAAGATGTTGATGGATGGTTGAATTCGATAGTTCGATAGTTCTCGTATAATATTTGGAATCGAGTATTCAATTTCGTTATTGGTAGGTACAAAACCTGAACTAAACTGAGAGTCAACGATACCAAAAACTATTTAATATCAAAGGGATTAGTAGTTACTGAGATGTAGTGCTGCGGTAGGAGACAGATGAATGTACAAAAGTAAATTGCTTGGGTACCTCTGTCCCATTCGTGTTTCAAATGTAAAGCAGTTGTGTTTGCATGGCTGTGTTTCGGTTTGAAGGGTGGGATATGGCGTGAATTTACTGGGTACGGAGGAATAACATCAGAGTCCTCAGGAACGGCAACACATAGGGGGTATCATGTGCGAAACAGTATACTGTGTTATGTCCATGGTACTGCTTATGTCTATAGGCAACGGATACCACTTTCCATCAGGTGGGCCGTCAGTTTGTTTGCTATTTTAAGTTGTATAAAAAAATAAACAATGACTCTTTTACAGTCTCCCTGCATGTGTATTTCTAGTCTACCCGTGTTTATTCTATTTTGCTTTGAAGAGAGGGAATTAGTGGTCAATTTATAACGTTGGTGTATTAGCCGTTAACTGTCCACTGCTGAACATAGCTTTCGTCATACGGGGGGTTTTGCCAATAGTTGCTAGGTTTAGCAGATGGGTTGGCAACCGCTGTTGCTTGCTCTTACGATACCCACGGAAAGGGAAAGGTTAGCCTATTCTATGCCAGAACTTACGCCACTTGGAATTTACGCGGTACAGAGGCATACTACCATAGGATTCAGGAGCACACGAGGAGTATCACCGCCATCACAGTGCTTTTTCTGATATCCATGGTGCAAGCCGTATCTATAAGCGAAGGTTACCATTTTACATTAAATGGGCCATCAGCTTATTCGCCTTTTTTTAATTTCGTATTATTATAAAAAAACTCATTTACCTGTTACGTTTTGGGGGCGATGGCCCTTGTGAGCATCGCCATCAGCAGTACGAAGCGGATCATGCCGCCGCATCCTACCCGCTGAGCAGGCTCTGCCGACAATGAAATAATCATAATAAATAGCCGTGAACATTTTTCACAGAGTCGTCTAGCCCTAAATTAAGCAGACCTTGAAGCGTGGGTACTAGATCACAGATGGTCATGCTGAAATAAATATTATACATTGTAAATATCTTAGATTAGGAAGTTAAGTACATTGTTTTATATTTTATCTCTCTATGATAAATATATAAAAAAGAAAATACCACTTTTTTCCTGTGGATATCATAAAAGGTAATTAAAAGAACTCAATGGTCGAGAGATGGGTAGCAGCGTCCCTCCTAAAACATACCAAAATCTAACTATGGTTGCCAACCCGCCCGCCAAGCGTAGCAACTACTAGCAAAACTGAATAGAGCAAGGCCTATGATCAGCAGTAAACAAAAATGTCTGATATCATCATAAAAAGAAAAAAATTACACCACCTGACTGGTTGTTAGTATTGGGGCTGCTAGTCTTCGTTACTAATGATAATGGTAATTTCTCTCTTCTCCCACGCTTTGTTTTAAAGGATTAAAAGTACAATGGTAACACTACGCTATCGATGTATGCTAGTAAAGTACTAGTGAGGGATAGCAGATGAGTATTAATTCAGGTCATCGCAAAGGATCACGTGGAAATCATTCTGAGTCATCATATTGCTAGCAATGTGGTTGTTAGGCCTTGTTACTGACAACCTTCTGTTCCACCACAGTCTTGTGTTAAGATAAACTATACAGCGAATATCTGAGGGAATAAACTAGAACAGCTTCTCTAGATAAAGGGCAAACGAATGTATCGATAAATAATATATAGCGCATCCATGAGAAAAAACTATAGTAGCCGACAAAGTCCGAATGATAAGCAAACAGAAGTGGCAATAGACTGGTTACATAGCTCGAAGAACAGACAACCGACGGGGAAGCAAGGTTCTTGAGTGGCGATCCCCTACGGGCAAACGTAATGTAGGATGATCCTCTACTAAATGGAGTGACGACCTCAAATGAATTGCAGGGAGTCAGTGGCTGCAAGTGGCTCCGTTCTTATGGCAGTCTATGGGAGAGGCCTATGTTCAGCAGTAAACGGATAATGACTGAAATGATGATGATGATGAGAAAAAACAAATAGTAGACTTTGTTTTCTCATTCTATCATAAAGTTATTTATTGATAACTTTATTTGCCATTTATCTAGGGGGATATTTATTTATTTATTTTAGTTTGGTTGGCCACCTGGTAGAAAGTGATAACCATCGCCTGAAGAACAGCAATATAGACTTAACAGAATAAAATATTATATCTGTGATAGGCTTCATTTGTTACCATTCCTGAAGACTACAAGAATATGCCTCTGCACCTTATAATTTCACCGTTATATCCCAAATCGAGCCCACAAAAAAATTCAATTAACTCGACCGAGAATCGAACCAGGGGCCTCATTTGCATAGCAATATCTTGCAAAATAATGATTTAGCTTTGTGTAACCCCATGAGACTATAATATAGGTATGCGCGGCTTACCGTGGCAAATATTTATTATGTTATATAAAATAAACATGGAGCCACACAAGCCCCTGGGTTTTGGTTACCCCTAAAATGAGATTATGTAAATAAATACGAAATTAAAACGGGTTGTGCTTGTTTTATTAGCCTAAAGGAACATAATGAAAACAATGGTTGCATTAAAACTTTCAAATTTATAAATAGCGATTTTGTTTTTTTTTTTCTAAATTATAGATTAATTATTTAAATGTACGCATATTAATAGTTTCGCTATACCGGTCCCGGCATTGAACAGGCCACCGTTTACTTTCCCGTGGGTATCGTAAGAGGCGACTAAGGAAATTTAACAGTTGAGAGATGAACAGCAGTGTCCCTTTTAAAACATCACCAAAGCTTAGGTTCCCAACCCGTCTCCCAAGCGTAGCGACTAGTAAAGTAGCGATTAGTAAAACCCCTCTTATGGGTGAATCTTATGTTCAAGTTATATTCTTTATACATTTGTTATCTCAGAACTCCATTATTTATATTTGAATTTGAAAATATGCACTTTTATATTGTTGAATAAAAAATTTCATCAAAATTGATTTAGTTGATTGACTAATGAAAATAACTATTTCAAAGTTGTGATGATTCTTAATTCAAATTTGAAAAGATTTAAGTCTTGTTGAAGCAAAATCTATTTATAAATTAATAATATTGTGTTGTTAATAATTTAGCAACAAAATATCAAATATCATAAAATATAATACAAGTAGTAATAGTGTTTATTTGTCAAACATATATTCGTCATAATAAAGACTGGCTACAAAATTATGTTTAAGTGGTTTATATTTCGTTCATTGGCTTTGGCATCCCTCTCGGCGTGGCTAAGCGTGGCGGGACAGGGAAGGGTTAACTTGGCAGGCTCAATGGCTGGTCCCGACATCTGGCGACGTAGCGTTAAAATTATTCAGGCATATTTTTGAACTGGTAAATTAGTGATCGTCGATTAAATTACGAGTACTTAAATACTAATATTACTTTTAGATTTTTGCATCGTTGCATGTTTTATATTTTTTTAAGATACAGGAATTAACGCGATCATTTGTCACGAGTAGATTACTAGTAGTGTACTACTAGTGCTTTGCTCACATACTGTGTTTCCGACGCCGTGTAGTCCCGGCATAGGATAAATCTCTTCCTTTCCATTGGGTGTCGTAAGAATCGACTAACGAACGGCGAGGAATGGGCAGCAGCGTCATTCTTAAAATATCTACTAAGTCTAACTGCGGTTGCCAATTCGACTGTCAAGCATGACAACTGCTGGAACTCCCCCCTCACCCCTTGGGGAGGCTTATCTTCAGCAGTGGACATATGATGACGATGAAGATGTGTTTCCGACAAACACATTAAGTTCATAGAATTGCATGGTTTCGTTGTACATGTGTATAGACATCGTTGAAAACATACCATAATTTTTAAAAACAACTTTATTGTTTTATCTTCAAACCATGAAGCAGGATTTAAGTGTACAATATTAATATGGTTTATCATTTCTTACCATTAATTCTTTATTAAAACAATGCCATTCCAGGTTTTATCTAACGCGATAACATAAATTTATAATAGAATATACATTTATGAATCAAAATTATACACATCATTTACATAATATGGTTATGATAAAATTAATAATTTGGTAAAAAACTAAATAAATTAAAATTAACTTTATATCCAGAGCTTTAAAAGTCGCATGTGGAAAAGATTAAAAGAACAAATATTCCACTTTGCTATGTTTGTACGTATCTTTGATAGTGACACCTGCACATTATTATTCCTTGCAAGTTGAATTTAAGTTGGAAAAAGTTAAATATTCTTTCCTTTGACTATAATAGTTTTTGTTTAATGCAAAAGTAATATCTATTTGTAAAGAGACAAGGTTGAAAACCATTCTAGTTATACTATTGCTGTTACATTTGCATTTTGAATTTTATTATTATAATGTAAATATAAATTTTAAAGAAAAGTTGATTATGAACGTGTATTGGTATAAGCTAAAGAAGTGTATGAGACTAGTGGTGAGAGAGAAAAACTTTTAGGCAATAAAAAATAGTTTAAAATTAACATGAAACAAAATTTTATCTGGACAGAAAAGAAAATCAACAGTATAAAAAATTTAATGTTATTTAATACATACAATATACTCTAAATATAAAAGATAAATATGAAAAAAATCAATTCGTGGATCTATAAAGAGAAAAGATGACCAAAAAGGTCAAAAAGGTACATTATAAGTAAAATGCATGACGTTAATTTTTCAGGGTAAATAATTATCGAAATGAGTATATGTACATATATTCAGAAGGTATTTACAATAGAAGATATAGAGAAAGTATAGTATAGTTAGAACAAATACAGAAAAATGATCTAAGGATATTATAGAGTGGTGTCCGAGACAATATAAGAGAAAAAAAGGGAGAAAGTCTCGTAGATGGGAAGACGATATCAAAAAAATAGCGGACACACCTGGAAAAGACAAACGCAGAATCGCATTCAGTGGCGAACTCTAGGGGCCTACGCTGGACAGCAAGACAATCTTTATGTACCGGTGTCAAACAAATAATTAAATTATTATTATTATATTGTAATATTGTTAATAAAGGCTATTATTATTATTATTATATGTACATATATTCAGAAGGTATTTACAATAAAAGATATAGAGAAAGTAAATTAGAAAAATAGAAATTATGTAACAAGGAGCGTCAAAACAAGCAATCGAGATAGAGAGCATGACATCGAAAATGTATACGAAAAGAAACATAGTTGTCGAGTCTGTGTGGCCAGTTCGAATGAAAGAGGTGAAATAATTATATATACCACTACGATTTAATTTACCCACTTAAAAGAATCAAAATTATGTTTTTTTTTTTTTACAACTGAATGGCAAACAAGCTAACGGAACCACCTTATGGAAAGTGGTAACCGTCGCCTATAGATATGAGCAGTACCATGGACATAACAGAGTATACTGTTTCGTCCATGATATTTTTCATTACAAGAATTCTTGATATATATATATATATATATATATATATATATATATATATATATATATATATATATATACAAATTACAAATGTAATCAAGACAAAACTTTAAATGACGAACATAACGTTATTGCAGTAATAATCAACATATCTTCATTAAAACTTTACATCAATTGGAGACTTGATAACAAATATTAATATTCATAATTGAATTTCCCTCGGGACCCTCTTGCGAGATATTCAGCAAGTTGAAAACTATATAGTACTTAAAGGCGAGATGGAATAGAGACCTTTGATTTTACTAGAAATTTATATATATTTGCATAGTGTTATTATTATTATTTCAGCCGTCAACTGTTCACTGCTGGATATAAGTCTTCCCCATAAGGGGAGTTTTGCTAGTAGTTGTTACGTTTGGCAGGCGGGTTGGCAACCGCAGTTAGACTTTTAGACATGTTTTAAGAAGGACGCTGCTGTCTATCCTT